CGCCTTTTGCAGTCTCTACTCCTGTGCCCAATGCACAAACAACCGAAGCACATATTGTTCTCCTTCAGAAAAGACATCTTTTCATCTTGAGTCTTTCTATCCAAAAGAAGGCAAACATCCAAAGAGTGTCCAGCTCCACATAACAAGCACGGCAAGTTCCTATCTCTTGTGTTCACAAGCTCCACTTTCTTCGCAGGTGCTACATTGGTGGCAAAACTACTGCCCCATGGCTTTACTCCAGTCCGGAAAGATCCAGCTTTAGACTCTTTTCTTCCGGTTCCAGGTGCGTCTTGAATATCTCCAAAAAGAGGATCACTTGCGATCTTAACTTGTTTACTCACAAACTCCACAATGTCATAGAATGTTGCTCTACGGTTGAATTTTTCTTGTAGATCACAGGCAACACATCTCCAACGATCTCTTAGCTTGTAAGGCAGCTTTTTCACAATTGTTTGCATGTTAGAGGGCACATTCAGGTCACCCATAGATTCTCCCATGGAGTTGTAACACTCACGGAGCAGTAAACTGTAGGCCTGTAATGCCTTGAGGTCTTCTCCTTTTACTGAAGGCCAAGAGAGCACTTTGTCCATGTAAGCTGAGGCTACTTTAAATGGGTCTCCAAAATGTTCTTGTAGCAAAGCCTTTGCTTTCATGTACCCATGAGCGGGTGGCAGGTGTTGACAGCTTCGGACTATGTCTCGGGGCTGGCCTCTTGTATACTGCTCAAGGTAGTACAAACAGTCTTTGTGGCTGGGAGTCCGGTCTTCAATATTGTGTTCAAAACCTCTCATGAAAGTTTGATATTGAAGTGGATCTCCATCGAAAGCTTGCAGGTCACGTTTGGGTAACAGGAAAAGGGACTGTTGTTCAACAAGTAGTGATGTGATTTCATTCTGCTTTTCGAGGACAGTAAACAAGCGGTGGTCGGGGATGCTCTGACTTATATGCATGTTGTGGTCAGGTTGAATGAGAGGGACAGATTGATATAATGGAGCCTGTATTGATACTAAATGGCTGGGCCCTGTAGCGGTAGACTGTACCCTGTTTGGAAACTTGCTTTGGGCTTTGCTGCCACATTGACTTTATGAATGCTTGTGTCTTCTGCTTGAGATTTCTGTGTGGTGAAAGTGGGCACAAACGTGGAGGCGTCTACATTTAACTGTGTATTTCTACTTTGTAAATAAGAGTTCATTCCATCAGATTTGGCTGATACACGAGAACCTTCAGACGCTTTTAACACATTCATTTTTGCCACAGAAGCTGCCAGTTCCATGTCCAAATCCATTGACTCCATTTTCCTCTTCAACTCTTCTTGTTGTTTCTCCATTTGTCTCCTTAATTGTTCCTGTTGTTCCTGCATAGCATGTTTTTCTTTCAATAGTTTTTGACGGGCCATAATAGCGGCGGTCTCAGCTTCTGCTCTTAATCGTGCTGAGGAAGTGCTTGACACCGCAGACTTGTGGCTCACAACAGTACTGCGTCTCTTTGATTTTCCAGATGATGCATTGGAAACGCTGTCATTCGGTTCGATTTCCACTGCAGTACTTTTCAGATGCATTACAGTTTTCAAAATGTTTGCTGTGTTTTCGTTTGAAAGAAGCTCTTTCCTTGGGAGACATTCCTGCTCAACAGCGCACTCTGCTGGTATTTGTTGTGCATCATCCACTATTGGCAGTTCCAAGAGCCATTTATTTGCCTCCTCCACACAAGTAGCTTTATGCTCCTCCACATTGACAAACCATGCATTCTGCTGTTCCTGCTCATCAGAGGGCACCATAGAAATGACTTCATCATGCAACTTGCTTGCTTCATTAAACAGAGTTGATACATTTTCAATGCATGAGCGGACCTTTTCAGTATTTACAGCATTTTTCATAAGCTCTGTCATTTCTCTCGTTGTCATTTTGATTTGTTTTACTTTAACTTTTCTATCATGTTGAAGCCTTTCTAATTTCTGTTCAAAGGCTTTAAATGTGAGCTTTGATTGTCTTTTTTGAGTCTCTTCTTTTGACCCTTCTTGAGTTGACATATTTCCTTCTTAAATATCCACAAATCTCAATTCTGCTGTGCACACTTCTTGATTCCTTTATTATTTCTCTCCTTTTTTTACTTTACTTTTTATGGCTTTTGCTCTAAGACACAGCGTTCCTCTCCCCAACACTCACGCGGACCCAGCTCCAATCTTTATTTAAGTGGAAGCTCAAAAAATCCGTAAAAACCAAACCAAATAGCACTTCACCTTTTGTACAAGCACTACCGAGTGAGGGGATCAATAATCCATGTTATTCGCTAAAGCAATGCCTTTTTAGCTCAAGCCCTTGATTGACGTGTGCAGCGGATTTGTGAATGAATGGGCACTGCGTATTATCCATGCGCGCTCACGTCTATCTTCACAACTTTGATAGAGATTGTAAACATCCACAGTTGTCCGACATTACAATGAAACTGCGCTTCAACAAACGACAGGGTTTTCTGTTGACAAATATAGTGGCGTATGGGAGGGCAAACTTAATCCATGACGCCACGGCGGGCTAAGCAAGGGAGCAGACACTGATGACGCGCAGTCGGAGATATTGCACAGTATGATGAAGTTTATTGCGGAGAGTAGAAATGAATCAGGCACTTACTTGGAATGTTGCTATGTATGATAATGAAGATACCTCATTAAGACAGTGCAGATATTTTAATTGATGGAAACATGCGGTCAACAGAAAGTTCCTTCCCCAGCTCACCCCACCGCCATGACACAGGCACACACACACACAGCTGAAGTGAGCGCGTGCACTGAATAGACAACCACACCCACTGGACCCGTGCATGATACTATATGCGCGTGCATGTACTAGTCACATTCACACAGAAAAACAAAAACCCTAAATGGCTCCTACAGACATGTTTCAGTTACTTTCATACAATTCTCTGCTGTTTTATAACATTATCATTTGCTTCTGTCATATCAGTCAAAATAGAACATATGACTTCTGAAGAGTCATTCCATATAAAAACAAATAGTCCTCATTTCATTGTGTTAGTTGTTACATACAAAATTTCTTAACTAGTTAATTTCATACATTCCTTTCTCTTTCTGGAAAAAAAATGCCAGAAACTCTCTCCTAAATTGAACAATTACTCTCAGGTGAATTTCATCTTCACTCATGAGGAGGTGTGTTTTATTGTTTACATTTGTCAAAGTTCTACCATAATGATAATTCTTGTATGTTTGTTCTATGGATATACATGTTTGTGACTGTATTTTTGTTGCACAGAGCAAGTGCAGTAAATATGTGAAATACATACAGTACATACATACATATACATGATTATCTTGTACTCACTTACTTCACTAAATACAGCCATGTGTAACGTTACTGTAGTTTTCAGAAGGCTGTACAGGTCGTGTATAGTGCTCAAGTGTCACCAAGATCTGACCTTTTTCTTTTGAAAAACACAGAGAGAGAAAACTGTCACAATAAAAACACAACTAATCTATTTGACTCTTGTTCATAAACACTGGTGTCAGGATTTTTTTACGACAGTTTCATTGACATGAAGACTTTCTTTTGAGGAATTAACTTTTCATTTTGAGAAAGTGATGCACTTTTGCAGGTTATCCACAAGGTTTTGCAGTTTGCAAAATCTTGTTCTGAGAAATTGTTCTGAGAAATGCACTAACTGTTAATTTGGAGAATGATGTGTGAACAAACTGAGAAAAACTGTAAACCACTCTACTGTGTTGTATAGTTGAACTATACTGCCATCTGCTGTTGACACAGTCCACAAGCCACTCTCCATATAATCCTGTTACTGTAAAAGCCCCAGAGATAAAGCCAGCACCCTCAGTACCTTATTTTAAATCACTTCTTAAAACCTTTGTCGTTCTTGTTGTGTGCTGTTTGACTGCTTCATTTCCCTGTATTTGTTCTTTGGTCAGTCTCAGTGATGCTGCAACAACTATGTATTCTCAGTATTATTGACATAATAAACACTGACACGTCAATGGTCACGTTGTGATGTAATGCTTATTGATGGGCAGCACTTGATGCAGTAGTTTGCACTTGTGCTTCACAGCAAAAAAGTTTCCTCCGAGTGCTCCAGGTGTCTTGCTTCTGTCATAGATAATTGGAAAGTGCATTGTGTGATCTTTGTCTATGAAATGTTCTAATCTATATGAATAAAGATGACTTTCTTGCAGTATTGTTACAACAGGTGGATAGCACATGCACAGGGTCCCTGCACATGCAAAGAAGATAATGAAAGGGTCAGTGTCACTGAAACTCCTCTCCAGAGCAGAGAGTGTCCTGCAGGGGGTGACAGTCATGGTCCAGCATGGATGTTAGTTTGTCCAGGACCCTCCTGTCCCCCACCTGCTGCTCTGTGTCCAGGGAACAGCCCAGGACAGAGCTGGACTTCCTGATGACCTTGTCCAGCTTCAGCCTCTGATGCTGCTCTAGCAGACCACACGGTGTGGTCCACACTGAACAAGAAGAGGCCACCACAGTCATAGAAGGTCTTCAGGAGTGTCTCTGAATTCCAAAAGACCTGAGCCTCAACAACAGGTGACTCTGGCCCTTCTTGAAGAGGGCGTGCATGCAGTTGTGAAAGGTTTGAGTTAAAACTCACTCTTTCAATGTTGCTTCCCTGGATGTTATCAAAGTCAAGATGATCATGTTTAGCTGGTTTATGCTTTATGTGAAAGGGTATTTTATAAAGTAAAGTGTATATTTTCCACAAAATACTACTACGTTTCCAGCCTTTAAAACGATCATGCGTGTGTGAGGACTGGAGCTTGGAGCCACAACAAGTTTAAAGGCCTCTCTTCTTATTTGACAGCTGTGACAAACAGTTCAATACAGGTCATGTATCATTCATTTACCCTAACCCAAAGCTCGAGAACAATTCCCTGCACTTTGCTTATTGGACGGCCTCTCTGTTACTCCCACATACATAAAAAAGTATCAAAGTTCAAAGGGATCAGTCCAGAGAGGGGCTCAGCTCTGAACATGTCTGCAGCCCTGCTCTACACGCTGCTTGCTGCTTTACTGGCGTTGGTTTTACTCATTCGCAAAAAATATCCCTATTTTTGGCACGATGTTAGATACTGCTTCATTGTGATCGGGATAGCTGTGCGGACGGGCAAATTCCAGAAGCAGAAGCCCTACTTCACCATCCTGGACAGATTTTTGGAGCAAGCAAAGAAACAACCGCACAAAACTTTCATTATTTTTGAAGGGCGTGAGTACAGCTACAGTTACGCGGATACTCAGAGTAACAGAGTAGCCCATGCTCTGCAGACTCACACGGATCTGAAGGAGGGGGACACGGCGGCCTTGTTCGTGGGGAATCAGCCTGAGTTTGTGTGGCTGTTTTTGGCTTTGTCCAAACTGGGCTGCACCGCGGCGCTGCTGAACACCAACATCAGGTCCAAGTCCCTGCTGCACTGCTTCTCCTGCTGCGACGCCAAAGTGCTGCTGGCCGGAGGAGGTACGTGCGTGTGTGTGTGTGCGCTGTAGCTGTGGTCCCCAACCTTTGGAGGCATCTGTTATTTAAAACAATCATAATGGCACATCACCAGCTGATGCAAATGCAGATGACCAATGTCCATAAATGTTGATAAAAGTTGTGTCCTGGACAGTGTTGGGTACGTTACATTGAAAAAGTAATTAGTTATAGTTACTAGTTACTTCTCCCAAAAAGTTAAGAGTTTACTGAGTTACTTCACTATAAAAGCAACTGAGTTACTAACTGAGTTACTCCACTATAAAAGTAATCGTTTCGTTCTGGAACATAATGTGCACTCGACGTGCACATTTTTACCTTTAACCTCAGTGAGTTTGAAATAGTGGTGATATTTCCATCTGGAAAAGGCTGTTTTGCTGCTGAAGTCCTCCGCACTCTTCATCTCTCTCTGTGTGCTTTAAACACCAACACCCACCAAGTTGAGGTTGTTTTGTAAGGTGTTGGTACTGCGCTGTCGGGGGCGGCGGCTTTGCTGAGATTCTCTTTTGCGACTAGCTTAATAGTTGAATGTTTACACTGCAAGTGTTTTAAAAGGTTCGAGGATGAGTTGGCTGCGGTGGACAATCGCTTGCTGCCCGCACAAAGCTTGCACTCCACGACATCGTTTTTATCTTTTTGACTGATATAGTTAAATAGTGTGCATATCTCCACCGGTAAAACGAATTCCTCTCCTCTGGCTCTGCCATGTTGCTTTACAAACAATCTCGCTGATGTGCCGGCACGCACGCCTCGGTAGTGGAGTTTTCCCCTGCTTTCCCGAGGCCGGTGCCGCCGGTAACAAGGTGTAACCCGGATAATAATCGCAGTGTTAAAAGTGAATAAAAGTGGTAACATATTTAAGTTATAAAAAGGTTAAAGAGAATTCATTGTTTTTTGATAATTCATTAGCATAGATTGTTCATTAAAAAATGATTAAACATATTTACAAGTGTTAAAATGCATAATTCATATTTATTTTATTTACTATTTTGTACATGTGTAAAAGTGCTGTTTCTTCTGATTCTTGGATGGTCAGTGAAGGTGACGCAACGTTGTGTGAGAGAGAGAGGGAGAAAGTTCGAGAGATGCTCGGAGGACAGTGTGAGCTAACGTCGTGTTTTAAGAGAAAGTTTTTTTTGTACCGTGGTGTTTTTAAAAAAAGAAAAGAAGCCATCGGGAGAGTGAAGTGCGATAAAAACTCAGTAGTTTCAACTCGGAGCTTATGGACTGTGTTTTCATCGCTTATTACTTGCTTATTGAGATTGTAAAAAAACAACCTCATATCAAAGACTGAGGCTACGGTTCGCCAACCCCGCGAAACCGCAGAAGCTGACGGTGGATCGTTACCGAACTGGACAACGAGACAGACGGATCCCAGATAGCACTCTGAGTGCCCGCGACGCTCAGAGTACCTCTGGCTACGTGGGAAACAGCGGCGGGACGAGACGTATTGGACCGGGTGGGACCGCGCACCTGCACCGCCATTGACGCCACACCACTGCCCGGAGCCCGCTGAGCACTGAGAGGACAACGCGAGGAAAGACCCGGAGCTGAACTACAAGTATCGGTTGAATAAACGCTGTACACAAGGTACCTTCTTTCTTTTTGTTTATTTTGCTCAGTGAGTGAAGCGACCATCAGTTTTTGGTCTCACCGCACCCAAGCATCGATACAGGCCTGCAACGTAGGGTGTATATAGATGCCGGCTTTAGTTAAATTGTAATGTATTCATTGTGTCTGTGAGCATTGTTTATGTTACAGTCCCTTGAAATGTGCATTTAACTGGATTTTGAGCTTTATTATTTTCTTTTGTAATTAAAGGGAGGGGATTTTTTTATACTTACCTCGTGTCTGGTGTTAAGTTAATTCAGGTATTTGTATCTGTTTGGAATATCTTTGTGTGAGTAAAAGTATAGCCCTGCGACCCAAAATAGTATAAATAGCTCTAGAGTCAGACTATTTAGTACGGGAGTACACACATTAAGGAACCCCTAGCCCACTCAAGTAAATAATGAGCAAACAAGGGCTACATAAAATGGAGGCACCGCTGGGATATTTTGGGTCCATCTAGAGGAATTAAAGGGGCAATACGTAAGTTTCTAAAGTTTCCACAAAGTTACAGAAATTACATTTTCTGGTTCTTTTGGCTCATAAAACCATGGCAGACCGCACTAACCATGTTGCAGAGCTGAAGAGGTGGTGTCGCGGTGAAGGACTGGAGGAAGAAAAAGCGTTATTGGTAGTGGTCCCAGAAGATGTGGATATAGCCACAATTGAAGAAACTGTGGGCACCATAAAATGTTTTGGACGCGTCCGGGTCAGAGGCCGCATTTTCAACACTGCTTTGAGTTCCCTCACTGTTCTATGTGAATGCAGAGAGAAATTTTCACAAGGAGATGTGCCCAAAGAAGTGGTTAACATGGAAAGTGAATTGAGTTGGCAAATAATCACGGTTGGCGATGCTGCCCCACTTGATGACTTCCGTGTTAAGCTACAAACTCTGTTAGCTGCGGAAGGCAAGACCTTGGAGGATATTAAAGGTCTTCTTCCTAATGCTGCGCCTCAGTCAACTTACCCCGAGTCCCCAGCCAACCCCACTGAGTCCATTCTGCTTGCAGTTGGTGATCTGTTGGAGAAAACCTGTAAACCGACAACTGAAGGTGGCTATCGGCGTTTACGATTGTTCTCTGGAAATCTGCCAATACCCCCCAGTGAAGAGGCATTTGACCACTGGCTTGAACAGGCATGGCTCATGGTGGAAGAAAGTGAATGTTCGGACAGAGAAAAAAAGCGCAGACTAATCGAAAGTTTAAAGGGGCCCGCACTAGAAATTGCAAAATCAGTCAGAGATTCAGATCCTGAAGCATGTCCCTCAGAGTATCTGAATGCATTGGAAGGCGCGTTTGGAAGTGCAGAGTCTGGAGATGACCTCTACTTTTCCTTTCGGTTAATGCAACAGTTACCCGGTGAAAAGCTGTCGGATTTTCTGAGGCGCTTGGAGAGAGCCCTCATAAAAGTTGTCCAGAGAGGAGGGTTCCCAACTAGTAGCAAAGACACAGCTCGTTTGGAACAGCTGTTACGAGGGGCCACCGCTTCTGATCTTATGCTTATTCAGTTGCGTCTCCGTGAAAGAAAGTCCTCACCTCCCACATTCCTCCAGCTATTAAGTGAAATTCGCACTGAGGAAGAGTATGAGGCGTCAAGACGAAGACTAAGATCTTCAGTACAGCCAGTACGGACAAAACATGTTGGAGCTGAAAGCCATGCGGAATTACAGAGTTTGAAAGATGAAGTAAAAGAGCTCAAGACCAAACTAGCCTGTATGAGCTTATCCCCTGCAGCCAAAGAGACACGGCGTAGTGCATCACCGGTATCCACAACCCAGTCAAGTGAACACAGTGATACTTATGAGCTTGCTGCTTTAAAGAAACAAGTCAAACGGCTTCAGCATAAAGTGGAACAAAAAGATGATGCTCCTGAACTGTCTGAAAAGCCAGCTAGAGTAAAAAAAGTTGATGTTTCACCAAAGACAAGCACTCCCAACAGAAACCGACAGCCACTCGACGAACAGTTCTGCTATCGTTGTGGTGAACAAGGACATTATGCGGCTAAGTGTCACAATCCGGAAAACCAGGGCAAGGTTATAAGGAAGCTCATTCAAGCTGTCAAGACAATGAAAGAAAGTACCACGACAAGTAATCCCCCTGACACTAACTGCCATGTCAAACAAGGTTTGCTCACGACAGTCACCCCCGTTGGCATTCCAGAAGGACTAATTGGGCCACCAAGTGTTGTACCCCTCAAAGTCAATGGAACGCCCTGTGACGCCCTATTCGACAGTGGATCGCAGGTCACCATAATATTTGAGTCCTGGTATAAAGCCCATTTGTCTTCTGTCCCAGTGCAACCAGTGACTGGTCTCGACCTTTGGGGTTTAAGTGAGTCTAACGTAAGCTACCCATACCGTGGTTATGTTGTGGTCGATTTTGAGTACCCAGCCGAAGTAACAGGCAGCAACCACATTGTGACAGTTCTGGCCCTGATCTGCCCAAGCCCAAAAGAAGAACATGTTCCTGTCATTGTTGGAACTAACACAAGTCATGTCCGCAGTTTGGTGCAGCAATGCAAGAAAAATGGTGTTGACATAACCAAAACGTTGGGGATCAAGGCCAAAGGTCAATGGAGAAATGTGGTAACTGAAACCATGACCTCCAGTGAAGATGAAGTAGGCTGGGTGATATGGCAAGGCCCCAACCCCTTATCCCTACCTCCGGGAGAAGGTATGCAAATAAACTGTGAAGTCAACTTCAAACAGACAGTTGGTCAAGAGATCTTAATGGTTGACTCATCCCCTTTATCTCCACTGCCGGGTGATGTACTGCTGCAGCCCATGGTTGTGCCTGCCAATGCTGTTCAGACCAACAGTTTCCGAATCCTAGTGCAAAATCAATCTGGCAGAGAAACCAAAATACCAGTTGGCACAGTCATAGGACACATGTATCGCACTGAAAGTGTCATCTCTATGCCACCCCAACAGGCAAAAATGCATGAGTTGAGCAGCAATCAGATTGACTTTTGTGACTCACCCGTGCCTCAAGAGTGGAAAGACCGGCTTAGAAAGAAACTGGTTGAACGCTCTCAAGTCTTCTCGGTCGATGAGTGGGATGTTGGTCTGGCCAAAGATGTGGAACACACCATACGTCTATCTGACTCAAGACCTTTTCGTCAAAGATCACGCCGCCTGGCTCCAGCAGACATAGAGGATGTCAGAAAACATCTGCAAGAGTTGCTGTGTGCTGGTATCATCAAAGAGTCCCGTAGCCCTTATGCCTCACCGATTGTAATAGTTCGGAAGAAGAACGGAACAATCCGGATGTGCATAGACTACAGGCTTCTCAACAGCAGAACAGTGCCAGACCAATACACTACTCCCTGCATTGATGAAGCCCTCGATTCACTGTCGGGAAGCAAATGGTTTACTGTGCTCGATCTGCGCAGTGGGTACTATCAGATT